GTTACATTAACTGTACACAGAATAGCCAAATTATAGAATAGTTAGTCCTAAAGACCAGTAAGTTTTATTTTACTTTAGGAAATCATGCTTCCAAGGCATAAATTTTAAACTCAGGGCAGACTTCTTTAACCAGCAAGTTGTGCAAACTGTACAGTTAGAAGAAACAGAGGAGTGGAAGTGGACTGTATTTTAATTTGGTTGTGATATTTTGGTTGCATTTCTAAATTAAAACTTTAACATTAAAAGATGTCAGTTCTATATATGAACTTTCACTATTCACATAACTAATCTGAAAAACTAAGGCATAGAACTAAAAAAAATGGCATAATAGTGCTTTATATGGTCAAGATAAAGTACCAATTTCCTCTAAATAACTACTGTACTGATGAAATGTAAGGAAAAGCAGAAACTTCTGTTTCCAAACATTTTAATGGATATTTTTGAGCTTTTCACCTATTAATCCCAGAAATAGTCCCATTATTTTAATGTTAAGAGACAATATCACTATTATACTAATTTGAATGCGTTTGAGGTCTTGCTAAATTATTTCTTCTTTTATACTATTGATTATATGTAGGATTTCTTTTTAGTATTCAAAAATAAATGATGGGTAGTTTGGATAAAGTTTTTAAACTTCCTCCCAAAAAGCTGATATTTTTAGCTGACTAGCTTTTTAGGATGGGGGTAGTGAGAGAAGAGAAAAAGGCTGTATATTAGAATTATTGAATAGGCCTGCATACTGACCAATGAGGATGGGGGCGGGGAGAAAGAGAGGTGAGGTGAAATAGCTGAAGTGTAATAATACCTGTATTTTTTTTTAAAAAAAATGTACAAATTCTCCTCCCGCCCCATCCTCTCCCCTTCCTCGTATGTGCTGGTACCTCTGGATGGTTCAGAAGCCATTTTAGAACTCAGGAAACAAAATATGAGTTACACTTGTGCTTTTGCAGGTGCTGTGGGTAGCAAGGATAACCTTTGCTCGCTTGCCTGGTGTGTTACCATGCTGTTATTTGATGTCTTTGAGGATTAAAGAAGGCACAGAAAATTCCAAACCCACATCCTAACACCTGAAGCTCGCACAATATTTCTGTAGCAGATGGTAAAAACATTTCATTGGCACCTTAATTTACAAAGTCAATAGCCAGATTCGGGAAAGTTCATTCTTTTGTGGCATCTTTTGAAGATCCATATTCCATTTTCGGATCTATTCTGGGTTGAAAACCCGACTCCTTCTAGGTGTTTTGCGCACCCCAGCTCCACACAAAGTCCCTGCAGGCCTGCAGTTCTCGGTGTTTCACTCTGTACGTGCATTTTCAATCCAGGACGTTTAGTAATTTAGGGGGACGATGGTAACAGCAACACCATAACGAATCTTCATGAACAGTCTATGGCTGAGAAGCCTGAGAGGTATTTGCCGCCACGCATTTGGACGCGAGGCTCGGAGCCCGGCTGTCCCCAGCTGTCAGGGGTGGGGGGAGGAGGGAGAGGAGGGAAGGCAGTGCTGGCGTTGGCACTGGCCAAGGAGTTGCTCCAGAGCTCCGCAGCCAGCTCACCTCTGCAGGGAGCTGGGCGCTCACCGGCCAGCTAGCCCCTGCGCCCGTGTCGCCCTCCGGCCCCAGTCC